TAATTTGGACAACAGCCTTCACTGTGTTTATGAAAAGGGCCAGATATGTAGTGAAAGAAAAAAAAAAGTAAATGGCTAAATAAAGAGAGCAAGGAAAATGATCTGGTGGGAGAAATGCAGGAATNGGTGGGCCCTTCGCCGTTCCCGGAAGTTACTTACTTCCGGGTTTGCCGACCAACCGGTTCGCGGGGACCGCCGCGAACCAGTTGAAACCCACCCCTGGCTTGGTGGCTCCGCTTCACCATTAAACCATTTTTCCAAGCAGCCTTCATGTTTCCAGGGTCTTTCTCCCCATTGAACCCAGATGGATATTTCTTCCAACACTATGGTTTTCCTCTGCCCTGTCCATTTTTTCCTCCATCCTTTTAAGTACCTCTCCAATTACATAATTATTATTTCCATCAAAGTCCATTGCGGGGTGCTTTCTAAACAACTGTTTCCTTGCTGGACTAAATCCATGCCCAGCCTCACAGCCAACCCTCTGGATGCATCAGTGCCCAAGAAAATTTGGGCGGGGGGGACCAACAACCCCAATCATTGGTGGAAAACTGTCCACTGTGGGAGATGAATTTGGCCATATTTTGCAGAGGGACCATTTTCGCTATTGACGAAATATGAAATATTAGCAACCCAGAGGAAGGTTTAATGCACTTTAAACATTGCCTTGTGCTTGGTTTTTGGGTGCTATTGTTGTTGCTGCACGGGGGTGTTGTGTTGTGCAAACACACTGAACGCAGCAAAATATGGCTGAGCAACCCGCAGACATTGTTGGAGCTGGGCCGGCTGAATGCACGTGGGTGAACCGACCAACTGGCTTCCTTAAGCATTCCTCCCCCCTTCCCAAAATGATGCTGAGATTGTTGCTGTCTCCTGGTGCTGCCCAATGCGCCAATGGAGGTGTGACGTGCCAGCACCATGGTCAATCCAGGGCCCAGCATGAAATCCGGGTGCAAAACCTCTTTTCTTTGCGCAAACATTCAGCACACACAGCCACTGTTGGGTGCCAACCTTTGTACACAATGCGAGTCCCTGCAGCGCCTCTCCCTCCCCCCCTCCCCTTCCTTCCTTCCATAGGAGGGGGGGAGGCTGGCTTATTCCAAGGGAGTTGCCATGGCACCCATAATAGGACAGGAATGGGAGCAAGGGATGGGGGGGAGGAAGCAATGAAGGGGATGCAAAGGGGAGCTGTGCACCATCAATCTCCCAGCAACTGCTTCATCTCAGCAATTACCCGGTTGCTGTAGTAACCACCCAGAAGAAAGTCAGGCAGGAAATTTGCAATTCTTCCTTCTAAAGATATTGGTGGAAAGAAACGAATGGGGCAAAACAGAATTTGGAGATGGTTAAAATTAGACCTTGTCCAGCTCTGCACAGAGCTATTTCTAAAAGGAAGAAATGCTCCTGCCCAAGTAAAGTTTGTCCTCCTTATTATGACTATTTGTTGTTGTTAGTTGGGAAGTCGTGTCTGACACATTGTGACCCCATGGTCAATGTTCCTCCAGGCCTTCCTGTCCTCTACCATCCTCTGGAATCCATTTAAGCTCACGCCGACTGCTTCAGTGACTCCATCCAGCCACCCCCTTCTCTGCCGTCCCCTTCTTCTTTTGCCCTCCATCTTTCCCAGCATGAGATTCTTCTTCAGGGAGTCCTTCCTTCTCATTACAGTTTCCTCTTCAGGATCTGGCCTTCTAAAGAGCAATCAGGGATGATCTCCTCTAGGACTGGCCAGTTGGATCGCCTTGCAGTCCAAGGGACTTGCAAGAATCTTTTCCAGCACCAGAGTTCAAAGGCCTCCATTCTTTGGCACTCAGTCTTGCTTATGGTCCAACTTTCACAGCTATCTATTGTAACTGGATGCAGTATATCACTCTATAAAGCCTTAATAAGACCATACCTAGAATACTGCAACCAGTTTTGGTCACCACACTATAAAAAAGGTGTTGAGACTCTAGAAAGAGTGCAGAGAAGAGCAACCAGGGTGATTAGGGGACTGGAGGCTAAAACATGATTGCAGGTGAATGATTGCAGGAATTGGGCGTGGCTAGTCTAGTGAAGAGAAGGACCAGGGGAGACATGATAGCAGTGTTCCAATATTTGAAGGGCTGCCACAGAGAGGAGGGGTTCAAGCTATTTTCCAAAGCACCCGAAGGCCAGACAAGGAATAATGGATGGAAACTGACCAAGGAGAGATTCAACCTGGAAATAAGGAGNTGACCAAGGAGAGATTCAACCTGGAAATAAGGAGGAACTTTCTGACAGTGAGAACAATCAACCCATGGAACAGAAGTTGCCTTCAGAAGTTGTGGGAGCTTCATCGCTGGAGGCTTTCAAGAAGAGACTGGACTTCCATCTGTCAGAAATGGTGTAGGGTCTCCTGCTTGAGCAGGGGGTTGGACTACATGACCTACAAGGTCCTTTCCAACTCTGTTAATCTATTAAAAGACTGGCTAATGACAATGAGAATCAGAGGAACAACTTGTCTCCAGATGTTGTGAATGTCCCATCAACGGAGGTTTTCAAAAGTAAGTTGGCCATCCATTCTTGCCTTGACTTCCAAGGTCCCTTCCAATCTTCCCTTACCTTCTGCCATTCTGTTATTCTGCTACGGTACAAACACTGCCCAGCCGGTGCACAGGGAGTTTTTGGAATCAAACGCTGGACTGTTACAGCTTGGGCAGAAAGAGATGACTCAGCCTTTCAACTCTCTGAAGCTCTGATCCATCTTATCTCTAATTTGATAAGACTGACTTTTTAAATCATTGCCTTAATGATGCCTAGGTTTGCAGAAGAGATTTTATGATCTATTAAGAGAACTGTGAAAGTTCTTGTTATTTTGTTAGCAGGTTGTTAATTATTGTTGGGTGGAAAAACCATCTTAGGTCGGATGGGTAAGAAAATAAACCTGCCTTGAAATGGGTAAGCCTTTAACTTTAAGCCCTAATTATGAAAACTGAAGGGCTCTTAAACATTTGTCTTCTCAATGTCCTCTTTTTCTTTTTCCTCTGGGATTAAAAACTAGGTAGGCTTCTCATCTTGTCTTGCTTTTAATGTTTTTGGGTGGTGGTTGGTTGAATTTTTAGGACAACTTAAATAATATGTTTGTTTTGGGAAAAGCAAGTAGCTTCAATTAGATAGTCAGAACAATGAAATTCCCAATGAAGCAGAAGTATTAGTACCACATTAAGAAGCCTTAATGGGGCCACACCTAGAATACTGCACCCAGTTTTAATCACACTACAATAAAGATGTTGAGACTCTAGAAAGAGTGCAGAGAAGAGCAACAATGATTATTAGGGGGCTATAACATAAAAGCACAGTTACAGAAATTGGGTGTGTCTAGTCTAGTGAAAAGAAGGACTAGGGGACTTGATAGCAATCTTCCAATATTTGAGGGGCTGCCACAACGAAGAGGGGGTCAATTTATTTTTCAAAGCACCAGAAGGCAAGATAAGAAACAATGGATGGACCCTAATTAAAGAGAGAAGCCACCTAGAACTATGGAGAAATTTCCTAACAGTGGGAATAATAAACCGATGGAATGGCTCGCCTTCAGAAGTTGTAGGTGCTCCATCCCTGGAGGTTTTTAAGAAGAGACTGGACAGCCACTTGTCTGGAAGGGTGTAGGGTCTGCTGCTTGAGCAGGGGGTTGAACTAAGTGACCTTCAAAGTCCCTTCCAACTCTGTTACTCTGATCCAAGATAAGAAGTCAAGTTTCATAATTGCAGGATGTATTGCAAAGCACATGAATATTGAATGCAGCTAGAGAGCTCTGAGCAATGTCTGAGAAGCTGCATCCAGTGGCCAGGGGAAATAGCAGACAGAGCTGAAGGACGGAGAGGCTCAGAATTATCAAAAAAATTGGAGAAGAAACCAACTGGCAGAGCAGAAGAAGATAATGGCCATGTTCTGAGTTGGAAGACATCCCCCAAATAAACCACTGGGCTGGGGGGAAAAAAGCAGAGTGATGTTTGTCCAGAATATGGTATCCTGCTCGAGTGAGCGGGTTGGACTAAATGACCCCCAAGTCCCCTCCAGCCCTATGTTTCTACGGTATATTCTGTTTCTTTCTTTTAAAAAACCAGAGAAACAGGCAAACACGGAATGAGAACCTCCCAGAAGGGATCGGTTGAACCACAATAGCTCTGACCCATCAAAAGGATGACACCTGGATGCTCTAATTTACAACAACCCTGCAAGGCAGACCGAGGGGAAATGAAGGCGATCCATACAGAGGTCCTGGAGAGAAATTTTGGGGGATTCCCCCCCCCCCCATATGAACGGATATTAAATGGAGGGGTTTTTCTGGGGGGGGGGGAGTTGAAATAGGCAAGGAGGAGCTAAGGGAGCAGCTGAGACCTAGAGGGGTTTGGAGCAAGAATGTCTCCCCTCCCTAGAAGAAGAGGGGGTGGGCTGGTGGGGAGGGAACGAGGGTGCTTGAGGATGAAGAGATGAGCTGAGGGCCTCCAGGGGGCTTCAATCTCCCACCTCCCCAAAAGGTGGGAGGGAAAAAAATTCACCAGTCTGAATGAATTGGGGCTATAAGGGGTCTTCTCAGAAAGCCGGTTGGGGGGGTGGGGAGAAGGGGAGGGGGAGGTCACTATGGGTGAGAAAGATGGGAGGGGCTTCTCAGAAAGCCAGGGAAGGGGTGGGAGAAGGGGAGGGGGAAACTATGGAAGAGTGGGATGAGAGGGGGCTTCTCAGAAAGCTAGTGGGGGGAGAGAGAAGAGGAAGCAACTATGGGGCAGAGGAATGAGAGGGAGTTTCTCAGAAAGCCGGTGGGGGGGAGGGGGGGAAACTATGGGGCAGAGGGATGGGAGGAGGTTTCTCAGAAAGCCACTGCAGCAAATAAACGGAGGGGGAAGCAGGTCCCAAGTTCGCGTTGCCTGTTTCATTGATGGGTGGTCCAAGGAAAGGAAGACGGAGGGCAGCCGCGGACCCTCGCCCGCCCCTTGATTCCGCGGGGGGGGGGCGTGCAATACCTCCACCCCTTCCCCACTCACCGCGTCCAGGCGACCGGCGTTCTCGGCTTGCGACCCCTTTCGCCCCGGCGTCTCCCGGCGCCGCCACAGCCGCCCCTGCTACAACTGGCGCGGCCGAGAGCAAAGCCAGCAGCTGGCTCGGCTCGCCGAACGCGCCGCAGCCAATCCGAGGGCAAAGCTCGCCGCCCTGCTACGGCCTTGGCCAATAGCATGGGCCGCCCAGGACACACCCCTCTCTTCGGAAGGGAGGGGCGGCGCGGGGAAAACACTGACGTCTTCTGCTTTCTCCGCCAGAGGTATGGGACTTGAGCTCCCATGGTTCCCAGCCGGNGAGTCGAAGTCCACAAGGCTTAAAGCGTCCAACGTTGGAGACCCCTCCCCTAGATGATAGGCTCAAGATCCAGATGGATCTTGACAGACTTGAACCCTGGACACTATCTAACAAAATGAAACTCAATGTAGAGAAAAGTAAAGTCCTACACTTAAGCAAGAAAAACCAAAAGTACAGAAATAGACTGGCTTAACAGCAGCAACTGTGAGAAGGATCTTGGAGTCTTAGTGGACAACTAGCTAAATATGAGCCAATAGTGTTTGGTGGCAACCAGAAAAGCCCACACAATCCTAAATTGCATTAACAAAGGGATATAATCAAGATCAAGGGATGTACTAATACCACTCTATAAAGCCTTAGTAAGACCACACCTAGAGTGCAGCATCCAGTTTTGGTCACCACACCATTAAAAAGATATTGAGACTCTAGAAAGAGTGCAAGAGTGCAGAGAAAAGCAACCGGGATGATGAGGGGACTGGAGGCTGAAATATATGAAGAAGGGTTGCAGGAACTGGGCATTACTGGTCTAGTGAAGAGAAGGACCAGGGGAGACAAGATAGCAGTCTTCCAATACTTGAGGGTCTACCACAGAGAGGAGGGGGTCAAGCTATTCTCCAAAGCATCTGAAGGAATAATGGACGAAACTGATCAAGGAGAAATTCAACCTGGAAATAAGGAGGAACTTTCTGACAGTGAGAAAATTCAACCCATGGAGCAGAAGAGCTTCATCCCTGGAGGCTTTCAAGAAGAGGCTGGACTGCCATTAGTCAAAAATGGTGTAGGGTCTCCTGCTTGAGCAGGGGGTTGGACTAGATGACCTACAAGGTCCCTTCCAACTCTTTTAATCTATTAAAAGACTGACTAATGACAATGAGAATCAGAGGAACAACTTGTCTCCAGATGTTGTGAATGTCCCATCAATTGAGGTTTTCCAGGCATGTTAGTGACTCTTTTCAGCACTAAATGCCAAAATGGGAGTGAACGCACACATGGGCGCACATGCATACCAGGAACTGGTATATGTACACACCGGGGGGGCTGCTCTTCCGGTTTCTGGCGCATGATAGTAAGGATATTGCAAAGGTCCTAAGCCACATTTTTCAATGCAGCTGTAACTTTGAATGGTCACCGCATGAGGTGTTGTAAGTCGAGGAGTACCCGAATTTACAACAGTTGCAGCATCCTAGGGTTACATGAGTGCCATTTATGACCTACCCAATTAGCTTTGGACTAGCATACTCAATGGGAGGAATCCAATTTGCTTAACAGCCATGTGATTCACTGAATAACTGAGGCATGAAAAGTTGCAAAATGGATGTGGTTCACTTAACGACTGCCTTGCTCAGTACCCAGAGTTCCATTCCCAAGTGTGCTAATAAACTGAGGACAACCTGTGATGTTTTTACTGCTTTCATCCACCAGATCGGCACATTCGTTTCCTGAGATTCCCTCTTTCAATTTACTGGAATGTGCACATTTCCCCTTTCAAAGCTCAGGAAAAAGCTTGCAATGACAGCAGCTTGACAGATCCCTACTGCAAACCTGGTAGGAAAAACAGCATTTGAGGAAAGGGTGATGTGGTGGGATGGGGAATAAGCCTGGATAAATTGCAGGAGGGAGACATGTAAAGAATGTGGAGGAACTGTTACCCAATGGAGATTCCAGTGGAAAGACCTTACAGGAAAAAGCGAGGTAGATGGAGAAGCACACAAAATATTTAGATTAAATAGCAGTAGACTTATATACCGCTTCATAGGGCTTTCAGCCCTCTCTAAGCAGTTTACAGAGAGTCAGCATAT